CCAACACTTCTATTTTATATCTCCTCATTTCTGTGGCTACCTGGGCAGCCTTTCCAGTTTCGTACATTGTACGAATATTCCACGTCCCCATCCTTATTTTTGCTTTCATCGAAAGAAGGCACATCGGCTGACTGGCTTCCCGAAGGCTTTCACCAGCCTGCGTCATTTCACTTCCCCGAAAAATAAGGTTATTGTTTATGGTTTTAGAATTTTTAACAAATTTGTGCGTTGAAGTTTTAGTAGCAATTTGGTTAAGTTTTGGGGGTGGAGTTGCTAGCACCACGCCCCAACCCTCCCTCTTTATCCGGGCTTGGGACCGGCTAGAATACTAGTGACCTAGTAATCTAGGCGAGGTTGCATACATCCTAAACAAAATCAAATTATAGGTTTCAAGAAAGTTGTGGAACATACTTTTTCATAAATACTTTGAGTTATAGATAGAAGGCATAAGGAACATAATTCCAGAAATTGATGTAGGTAGACAGATTATTCGGTGTCGAAAAACAACTAATTATATATAGTGGAATTGGATAAGAGGGGTAAGAGTTCAGATTTCTATTGGAAAACAACACAGATTGGTTAGAGGCATATTACAGGGTCAGGGTCAGAGAACAAAGTAAATTTACACATCTTGTGGTGGAGAGTTTAAGAGGGTGGGGGTGAATAGTGAAGTAACATTTATAACTTAAACACACAAACAATTAAGTAGATTTAGAAACTTGAAGGTCAAAATTGAATAGAATGTTACGTAACAAGACAAACACACAGGCATACTGACAGAAAGGCAAAACAAAAATAAAATAGAGTTAGGGTTACCAAGGTAGTGACAGATTAATCACACTATCTTTCTGTATACAAAGGTCTGGTCGAAATCTCTTGATAGCAATGGCTTCTGCGAAGCGAAGTAGCCGTGGGTTTCTTTGTGTATTGATTATTTTGAAGGCTTGGCTGATTTCTACTGTGTGTCCTGTGTCAATTAGATGTCTGGCGATTGCACTTGATAACACTTTTCTTCCTTTTGTACGGAGACTCTTAGGAATGTGCTCGGAAAATCTAGTAGATGCTGTCCTCTCAGTCCTTCCTATGTACTTGCTACCGCAGGTGCACGTGAATTGGTAAATGCAGTTGGAGTTGACGTGAGTAGGGAACTCATCTACTTTTGACTGGGTTAACGAGCACACAGTGTTGTGAAGTAGGATCAGTCTGGCGGCTGGGAACGTTTTTTTCAATGCACCTGTGATTCTTTTTTGTGTTCTTGTAGATATGTCTTCCCCTTTGTACGCTAGACAGATGAAAACTGGTTTCTTTTCAACGGTGTCGGGTTTCGGTTTGTGTACTTCCTCATTTCTATATTTTAATATGAACTTTCGAGGATATCCATTCTCGATAAGGTTCTTTTCGATGATCTCAAGTTCTTCTTCAATCTTGTCTTCTGAACATATTTCTTTGGCTCTGCTGAAGAGCGTTTTTACTAGACATCGTTTGTAACTGGTTGGGCAGAAGCTATGATAATGTAGGTATTGACCAGTCCAAGTTTCTTTCCTGTAGACAGATTTTTGGATTCTCCCATCGTTTCTTCTTTTTATGTTGACATCTAGGAAATGGAACTGGTTGTTTCTTTCGTAGTCAATTGTGAATGCGATGTTGGGATGGGCCGCGTTGAGTTTCTCAAACATTGTGGACGCGTGTTCTATATCATTGCAGACCACAAACGTGTCGTCGACATATCTGCAGTAATAGGCGGCTCTTTCTATTTCTTCTTTCATTTGAGTCTGTTCAAGATGAGCCATGAATATGTCAGCAAGAACAGGACCCAGAGGTGAACCCATAGCCACCCCGTCAATCTGCCGGTACAGCTGATTGTTGAATCGGAATTGAATATTCTTTGTACATAGAAATAACGATTTGCATAGCTCATTTTCTGGAAGAGGGAGCAGTTCAGACTGCTGGCATATGATTCTTACTGTTTCTTCGATGGGTATGCTGGTAAACAGTGAACAAACGTCGTATGACACGAGAAGTCTATCTGAAATATTGAGTTGATCTAATTCTTGTGAAAACTGGAAGGAATCTTTGATACTGTGAGCTGCCAGCTTTTGTCGAATGGGTTCCAGCTTTTGGGCCAACCATCTGGCCAGTTTATGGCATGGTGATTTCACCATTGATATTATAGGTCTCAATGGTACATCACTTTTGTGGACTTTGGGTTGACCGTACATGAATGGTACACGCGAACCTCTTGGTTTAAGGTCGTTGTAAGTGCTGTTGTCTATTAGCCCTTCTTTAAGTAGTCCTTTGAGGTGCTTGCTTACTTTATTTTCGAAGGCCGCTGTTGCTTCTTTTTTGGACGTATCGACTTGAAATCTTATTGGATCATCGAGAATGGTTTTCATTTTTGAGATGTAGTCTCGGCGGTTCATTATTACGACACCTGAGCCTTTGTCTGGTTTGAGAATGACGATGTTTTCATTATTTCGTAGGTTTTTTATTGCTGTTCTGTGTTCTTTAGTAAATAATTTTGAGTGTGCTGGAGGAGAGATCTGATATTGTTCTGCAATATCGATCATTTTGGACTTAAACCAGACTCTTTTATCCTCGTCTATGGGTTTAAGGTCGGAAAGTTGACTGTATAAATACTCAAACTGCATTTCTGTACTGATTCTGTTTATAAACGGGTTTGGTACGTGGTACTTAAATCCTAAGGACAGAGCTTCAGTTTCGAATAGAAATCTATATATATATCTATATATATATCTATACATATATATATATCTATATCTATATATAATCTATATATATATATCTACATATAATTAGTTGTTTTTCGACACCGAATAATCCGTCTACCTACATCAATTTCTGGAATTATGTTCCTTATGCCTTCTATCTATAACTCAAAGTATTTATGAAAAAGTATGTTCCACAACTTTCTTGAAACCTATAATTTGATTTTGTTTAGGATGTATGCAGTTGATGAGAATCCACGAAATAAAACGAGCTCGTATTATCCTGCAAATATGTTCGTTCTTTCTCTCTTCAAACTAATAAAGGGAACTGGTTGCATGAAAATTCTATGACAATCTGGCCACTGAACCTGAGAAGGCAGCAGGCAAAAGGCACCTGAGGACATTATATCAGATAACCAAGTCTCTATCCGGGAAGAGATCAACACAAGTGAAACCTATAAAAGACAGCCAGGGGAACCCAATTACCAAGGAACAAAGACAGATTAAACAATGGGCGGACCACTTCAAAGGACTCTTGAACCGACCACCACCTACAACCCGTCCAGTAATACCAACAACAGCACGTACACAACTGCGAGTTGACACCAATCCTCCGACGAAAGCTGAGGTCTTGAATGCAATCAAGCTTCTGAAAGCTGGAAATGCAGCTGGACCAGATGGAATACCCCCTGAAGCACTGAAATCGGACCCAGAGACGACAGCAGATATGCTGACTCCATTATTGCAAAAGGTCTGGAAAGAGGGAAAGGAGCCTACTGACTGGAGGGAAATTTACCTCGTGGAACTTAGGACTATGCAAGAACTGGCGAGGAATCATGCTCCTGTCGACGCCAAGTAAAATCCTGAGTCACATCATCCTGGAGAGAATAAAGGACGCACTGGATACAGAACTCCGACCAGAACAGGCTGGATTCAGGAGAGACAAATCATGTTCTGACCAAATTGCAACTCTACGCATTATCATCGAACAAAGCATGGAATGGCAATCAAATCTCTACCTCAACTTTACAGACTTTGAGAAGGCCTTCGACAACGTTGACTGCGAAGTAATTTGGATTTCGAGCACTACGGCGTACCCCAAATATTCATCAACCTTATTCAACAGCTGTACGACAACGGCACATGTCAAGTGATCCACAACGGAAAACTCAGCGAAGCGTTTCGAGTAAACACAGGAGTCAGACAAGGGTGCTTATTATCACCAATGATATTCCTAATTGTGGTGGACTGGATTATGCGTCAGACAGTGGGAAACGAGAAGACAGGGATATCCTGGACCGACGTGAAGAACCTAGAAGACCTGGATTTTGCGGATGATTTATGTTTGATGGCACACAAAATCGAAGACTTACAAGCAAAAACCGACAAACTGGTCGAAGAAGCAGCAAAGACAGGACCCTAGGTGAACATAGACAAGACGGAAGTTATGGAAATAACCAACCAACAACTACAACAACAACAGCAGCAACATCCAGCGCCAATTACCATCAACTGGAGGGATTTGAATGAGGTTACTTCTTTCACTTATCTAGGGAGCATTGTCTCAGCTACAGGAGGAACGGGCGAGGATGTCAAATCGAGAATCGGGAAGGTGAGAAACACATTCATCAACCTGAAACCAATCTGGAAATCTTCCTCACTCAGTATCAACAACAAAATTCGGATTTTCAATACAAACGTCAAGTCAGTTCTTCTTCTATACGGATCAGAAACTTGGAGGGTCACAAAGAATATTTCCAACAGGTTGAAAACCTTTATCAACAACTGTCTTCGTTCTGTACTCAAGATCAGATGGCCGGAAAGAATCACCAACAAGAAACTATGAGAACAAACAAAACAAGAACCAATCGCCCAACAAATATGCAGGAGAAAGTGGAGATGGATTGGACACTCGCTGAGGTGGCCGCTGGGTGACATCACGCGTCAGGCCATAGCTCGAGTGGAACCCGAAAGGGAAGCGGCAAGTGGAACTTCCAAGGGTGACATGGAGAAGATCGTGTGAAGAGGAGCTGAAGCAGTATGGACTAACATGGATGCTGGTGAATAATACAGTAGAAGACAGAAACAAGTGGAGACGTGTAGTTGAAGCCCTATGTTCCACTAGGAACCCAAGGGAACAATAATATACAATAATATATATTGGTATTGTCCGTGAACTCATCCATGTATGTGAATTAATCGTTTTCTTCAGATGTTCTCAGCCTAAGATTATCGTTCAGTCAAATTACAAGATAGCCTTCAAGAGCACTCATCCTAACAGCGGTGTATTTAATCCTCGGTGAAACCTGCTAGAAGTCGATATGTTATGTGTCCTCCTTCCGATTTCACTATGGATACGTCTCTTGGTAATCTTCTGGAGTGCATAGTAATCTGCAGATATAAGTAATGGAGTACGACCCTTTGGAGACTATGAGTCCTAGTGAGCCATTCAGCGACCAGAGGGTTGCTCAAAGCATTTCAGTTGAAGGCGAATCAACTTTTAGTCATCAAATACAGCCTTCAGGTAAATGTGAAGAGAAAAGCACTGAGGGACCAAAAGGGGATTCAAGTTTTCCCACTAATTCTATGCCACCTCTCCAACAAACATGCATTCCATCAACCACTACACAAGGACATTCTTTTGTTCGGAGGACAATACACAGACCGGCATATTGCCATCACTGTGGGGAAGTTATTTGGGGGCTTTTAAGTAGTGGATTTCAGTGTGAAAGTAAGTGAAACCTATCAGACTTCGTGTTGAATGCTAGGATAATAGTGCAGCCAATCCACTTTCATGTATTGACTAATAAATCAGAGTACTCATTTCTCTAGATTCGGTTTGTTGATTCACAGCACCGTATGAGCTAGCGTTATTAGAAATTTTATGCCTAATACATCAGGCTATCAGGTTTGTGAATTTCGGAGTAGTAGCCAAGATCTAGAAGCCAGCTTAAACTTAAGACTCTGGTGTTACTATTTATTTTCATCTGTGGCATTTTCAAAGTTGGTACCTGATTAAGGTGATTAAACAGATTTTGTCACTTATGTGAGACGCTGTTTGCGGCGAAGTTTTTTATGACAAGACCTTCATATTACTTGAACCAAATTCACCTGTGGATTACAGAAGCTAAGATTTTAAAAATAATTTTGTTTAAGATTGTGAGTTAACGGTTTTCATAAAAGGTGCTTTCTTTTATCATTAAGAAGGCAGCCAGCGCTATTAGTGTACGGTTTTGACATTTCAGTCATCACTATCTTAAGTTTTGTGTCACTGTCTTTGGGTCAATTTAAAGCCAGTTACCTGTTACCTGTTTTTCCTGCACTGTGTCGGTGGCTCCGTTCTTGCCATAATTAGTTGAGTAGCAAGTAAAGAGCTACTAAAAACCAGTTAACATGTTCCACACATCAATGTATTCGCTTTTTACTCAAGTGAGTCACAGACTAGTCTTTCCCTGCTGTATTTCACAAGCCATTGCATTCTTCTTGTTATCCATTTTAAAATCCCTCAATTTTCTAGATACTTTTCTCTACAGTAAGCTATTTAGATTTCTCGTTGTGCATAAGCTGCACTGGAATAAGTGCTTGTATATCCATTGTTTGTGAAACTCAGTGGCTTTCAACGGAGGTTCAGTTATCGTTTGTCAGTGTATGTGCAGCAAGCTGGTGAAATTAACCCGTTCCGGTAAAATTTGTGAGAACAATTCAGGTAACAGTTTGGCCAGTAAGCTGCGTCCATTGGGATTATATATGTCACAACTAGGTGTATTACTCCTATTAGGATCACCCTTTCTATCCTGTTATAATCGTCTTTTAGAGTCATTCACTTGATGTAAATGAATAACTCTTGTGATATTTTTAATGTGACTAACTGACTTTCACTGTGAAATCATGCATAAAAGTGCACCGCTTCAAGTTACCATACCTCGGAAATACCAGATTAGAGGAAATGCAATGCGACTGCTTTGATCGGAGATGTATGTGTGAGATAATAGTTAGATGATTATTGAAGATTTTCAGAATCTGAGTGGTAATAGGGAGCAAATGTAAGCGAGCCATTTTGATTGATTTTGAGCCAGTTTCCAATCACTAGTTTTTAATATCCATAGGACCCCAATCAAGCAATTTACAACTTACATGGCGATGGCTTATAATGCGTAACGCGTGTTTTGATCATCTCAGTCGGTGAAACATCACATCATTTATTGACTTCCACCTCTTACCTACTGCGATTTTATCATTAGTCACTCCATTAAAGCTGATGCAACTCCACAAATAAGTGGAGGGTTATCGACGTAAATATTATTCACCTCACTATACCGCAGTTAATGCAACAGAATCCTCGAAAAGATGTGTCGATATATGAAATACTTTGATGCTTACAGAGGAAAAATACCAGCTAGATAAGAATTCAAAGATTTAAATTAGTGAGTTCACGCACACTACTGTAGTTTTCAAACTCTTATTTAAAAATAAGATAATATAGTTGTCCGTTATTATTCAATCATATTGTTTGCATGAGTACTATTGACGGTTGCTGGTCACATAAATTACAAGGGATCAACAATAAAACGTTTAAACTACACTGTTACCTTTCTTAACATATATGGGGGTTTATTGCTGATTCAAAACGAGCTTCAAATTGTTACGTAATGACTCTATTGGTTTTTCTGTGATGCTTAACCATTTTGGTTATTTGTTGCTATATTTATGTGTGTATCTACTTCACTTGTTTCTTGAATTTTAGTCTGCAACCTACTTGCTCACGAACGCTGTCAGACCGTAGTAAGCTCTCCATGTACATCTGTGGCGCCCCTTCATGTAAAGGTAATACATCTGAAAAAAATAATTTTAATAGCATTTAAAAATCATTTAACATTGTTTGCTAATTGATCTGTAAATGAATAAAACATATTTATTCCATCATTCCTATTCTTCCTGCTTTTAATTGTCCTTTCTTGCTTTAAATTGACGGTGTGTAAATGATCTTATTTGCATTTTCATAACTATGTTGTGATAAACTAATTTAAGACAGAATTTAATCTGTTCACAGTACCCCGCATTTTTCTTTATAGCAGATTGCAATTACTTCTCATCGTACATTCACAAAGCAAACTCGTATTGGGGGACTTTGAAGGAAGTTGTTTGTGCTTTATGTATACTTGGCAAGAGCATTTTCCCACCGAGTAATTGCTCCTGACATCTTATTTCATCTTATAATGCAGTTAAAAGCTATCTTACACATCAAATTATACTATGACTGCTCATTCCCTACGTTCCGAGTGGAACATAAAACTTCTGTGGTGTATCTCCACTGCATTTTGTTATCTGCTATCACACTTACATATGACTCCGCGACTGCCCACAAGCTTTCATTTCCTCCAGACATCATCTCCTCCATTTCACTTTCGGATGCTCAACCCTTCGCTTCCTATTCGGATTTCATTCCAAAGCCTGGTGTGTGTATACCTGGTTGATACATATTAAAAAAAGGAAAGACTGAGCAGGTGCATCGTTTATAAATCTGTTAGAGTTGGATCTACGTAGTTGTCCTTTTAACGCCCGATGTATACCTCGGTCATTTAGATTTCATGTTCAGTGTTTCAATTTCTGTCCAAACTAAACAGGTCTTTCAGATGTTTCTTGTTGAGTTGAGGACCTATTTTTTCTTTACAACCAGATTGGTTTCTTATTTCTATTCTGTAAGTGTTTTGTTGATTCCCTACAGAAGATCAGGCTTGGATTAACATCGTTTCTCATAATAGTCTTATTGTGGAGAGTTTTGTTTTGCGTGAAGACGTTTTCATTTTATGCCTGTATTCGATTTAACTATAGTAAACTGAGCACTGCATTCAGTTTATTAGTCATGCCATTATTTGTATTTCTTATAACTAGTTTTTTCCTACAGGTTATTTTATGGAATCAAGCTATCCATTTATTCTGGATGTATATATATATTTTTCTGTCGTTGATTTTACAGTCTCCAGTATCTCATTGTTGGTCAGATTTGGGGCACTTCAAGCGGAAGTTTTGCAATGTTTGTCGTAAACGTTTGGAAGACAGTCTTTCTGTGAGATGTGAAGGTAAGGTATTCGATTTTTTTTGTTAGGTCACTTTAAAATAATCTACTTTTCTTTTTCCAGTGGAAATTTGACTTTGTTTTCATTCATCTTTTACATAATCTGGACAATGTATGCTTTGTTGTTTCAGTAATACAATACACTATATAGAAAGAATACAGACGCGAAAAATACCCATCCATCTTATTTCCATGTATGGATTATAATTTTTTGTCTTAAAAAGTAGCAAAGACCCTTTCAGTCTCCTGATACATAAATCGTTATGATATATTATTGACATAGTTGATAAATATAAACAAATATCCAATATCATTTCTATCTAAGTGTTGTATTCCGAATTAACTATTTTTAGTCTACTTTCACACAGGATTAATCTATCCACATAAGCAAGCTGTGTGATTTTAGTTTTTTTTTTTGCAATTCGCCCAACTATATATGAAGTGAGTCAGATTGCATCTGTATACTGAGAAGGCTTTAGGCCAACTTGTTTTATTCTTTTCTTTCTGGCTTGATTGAAGGAATCCTTCTCTCGTGAAAGATTTACACCCCATCGATTTGATTCTAGGATTGAATAAGGTCACAAATTTTGTTGTTTTACTTTGCTTTCCGAGTGGGATATAAAGCTTCAAGCTTTGAGCTGTGAAGTTTCAGCAGCGATGGTGTTATTTTTTTTTACTGAGTGAGGTTGCTAGCCTCATGCCTAAGCTTTCCTCTTTAGCGAGCTTACTACCGGCTAAGCGACGTTTAGAAGTGCGTCGGCTGGGATTTGAACCTTGAACCACGTGAGTGTTTGCTGAGTATTCTACCAATGGAACCACTGACGCACTCAATTATTAGTGTTGGTTAACAGATGTATCGATATTTTTGTGTGACCTGTATATGCAGCAGCACAGTTAATCATAAGTACTTTCTTTTTGTATTGTCTACTTTAACTTATGTAATTCAGTTTGTGAATACTACTGCCATGTGGATTGTCAAGATTATTCTATCAATGATTGTAAACAAGGTGCAACATGTTCTCCTGGTAAACCTGTGGTGCGTCCTAGCAGTAAACTGTTGGAGAGTATTTATAGCATGCAGTATTCTGTTTTTTGATGTTGTGCATTGTTGTTTTGCAAAGATCATATGTTGTGATGCTTTTCTCTATGTATAGACTTTGTGTCGTATAATTTTTCTTGTGGAACTGTTTGTTCTTTACTGTGTAGCACGTTCATTCAAGAAAAAAAATAACCGCATGCTCTTAATACATCCGAATTTCAGATGATATTATGCAGATTGTTGATGAAAGCGTTTGGGTTGTTATAGGTGATGGAGAATATTGGTAGTGCATTAGAGTGATTTTGATTGTGTTGAATTCTTTAAGCAAAAAATCTGACTGCTTAGCAGTTGTTATTACAGACCACACTACTAAAAAAACACTGACTTCTTTCCAAAGTTGTTTGGGATACCATAAATGACCTGGTACAGTCGAGGGGATGGGCAGACTTCGGTCTTCCTTTCAAAATGCTGTCATGTGGCCATGCATTCATAGCCTCTGCCAGATAAGTCCTATTCACCACAAAAGTGAAACGACGAATGCGAACGTCTGACGCCTACAACCTGACTAATGAACGTCCAGGTCTACCTAGGGGAGCCGGAAAACCCTGATTCCAAACCTTTGGTGTAGGTGGTTTCCAGAATCCGAAAAGTTTGAATGGTATATAAACCTGTTTTGGTCACCGGAAAAACGGGAATGCAGCTCCTGACTCTGCTCTATTGCCTTGTCGGTCAGACTTTAAGTCAAAGGTGTACGGAGGGCGTGGACACTTAAGAAAACCACCTGCTTCGGTCTGGGCGTCTGAGCAGTATCCTAGCCGCCGCACAAACCTCGAGATTTTGTGTGGCGCATCTCTTGGTGCTCATAATGTACCAAGTTTGTGTTTTATTAATAATAATATCGTTTAAATCCTCACTACTGAACCACCTGACTCGCAGAAATCAAAATAAGTTCTAGTTTGTTGTGTGCACATGATTTTAAGTTCCTGATCTAAAGGTATTCTTCGTTTTGAATGGTTGAGGGTTATGCAACATAATTTAACGTTCTATTAATAAAAACGAATGTTACTGTTTCACAGTGCTTATTCATCTCATTCTATAATAAATCGAATTGATAATTCAGATAATGTTGATGTTTATTCAAAATATGGTTTAAGATTACTTGAATCTCTTAATAATTCCGGAGACATGTAGCTGTAGATTATTGACCTAGGCGCTCGACTGTCAATCATTGCCATGAGGGTTCCATCTGCACTGATTTGATAGGCAGGTAGTATTACTGTCTTTCACAGTGGTATGTATGGTGCATAGTGTGGTGCGTAGCTCCATCTTTAACAGTCTAAAATATAGGTTCATCTTCCTACACAGTCTGCATGGTTGGAGTCTTCGAGATGCTAAGAACCAATGGCTTCCGACTATTCGTAATATGACTCAAAACTGTTCTCAATGGCACATATGCATTCAGGTCAATTAAATCCCCATATTTTTCAGGTTACTTCCTTTTGTATATTTCTGTGCATTTTGCTTCTTTGTTTCTTTCTCTCTCTCTCTCTCTCTCTCTCCCTTCTCTACCTTTGCGTGCTTCATGGAGTCTAGCAACTTTAACTCGTGTAGTTCTGTGTGAGTTTCTATGTTAAAACTCAGCCAGTTAGTCAGTCAGTCTTGTACATGTGTGAGACCTCAAGAAGCTTCTCTTAGCAGACCCTTCACAATTTGTCATACCCTGTTGTCTGAATGATCTTTTATGCATGCAGATTTGTTTTGTTTACTGTGTAGACTCTTCTTAGATGAAAATATTTCGTACTATTTCTCACCTTTTGTCGTGTACTGTGTGTCAGGCTTAAAGGTTGATGCAGCTACATATATAATACCACCTAACTGCATATGGAGTTTTCCAGAGTATCTGTTTTGCATGGGGAACAAGCGTATACTTTTCCAGTTTATAAGCCCTGATTTTCCCACTAAATATTCCTTTTGTATATTTTGTTTTGTCTTGAAGCAGAACGTTAAACATTTATTTCTGCAAATGATTAGAAGTGTTAATTTTATCCTGGGATATTTATTTAATGGTTAAATTGATTTCCTTTTTGAAATTATAATATATTAGTGTTCACCGCGTCAATCACATCATTGGAGGGAGGGGAATTTACCAACCAACTCAAAGTGTTTTATATGCCGTAAAACATGTTGGTCTTCTGAATGTCTTACTGGTTATCGTTGTCACTGGTGTGGTCGGACTGTAAGTTTAACTGCTGACCTTTTACTGTTTTTTATACTTCTTTTTTTTTCTCTGTTATAATTGATGTGTCAAGCATTAGGAGTCAGTAGGTAAGTTGTGTCGATCACTGGAAATAGTACTGAGCGATGCTAATTCAAATACCAAAAGGATTATACGTTCCTTTGGTTATAAATATCAAAAATAATGAAACCTAGATCGAGTAGGGTTCATTTCTAATTGACTCCAGAAATATAATATAAAAGTATATTAATTTGTCTACTGGATATATTACAAAGTGAAATAGCGTTATTTGCTGGTAAGTAATTGCAGTGAATACTATTATTTCCCTGTGTAGTAATATGCAGTAGACTAATTAATATGGAATTACATATTGCCACAGTGTCCAAGTTTTTCGCATATGTTGATTGTATCAAGGGTTGGCTTGCTGGGATACGACTGGTCGCAGCTTCGATCACAAACTGACATCATTTAGAGGACCATTGGAAACCACCATGGAGTATCCGTTACTTGCTTCGTCCTAGTTTGAGATTCCTCAACCGTGCGCACCCATCGGAGTCCGAACTCAGGACCTTCCGGTTACAAGGCGTGTTCGTAGACCATTCAGGCAGTAGGACGTGATCCAATGACCTATGAATTTCAACTTCTGCTCATTTGTGGTGCATTTAGCGCAACCGCCTATGCTTAAGGCATGCAATTGCAGTTCACCTGTCCTTGTAACTTCTCTCGGTACTTCTCCTAAATTAGAAAAGAAAAGGCATTCAGCAAAGAGTTACTCTTTTCGGCGATATCATTCTCAAGCTGTACAAACCGCAAATTTATAGTAATTTTTCTTGGCAACAAAAGGAATATTTCCAAAGATGCAATTGGTAATTTTTGACAACAAATTACGTAATTTAGAAGGCGTTAATCGGTTAGAAACTAAAATAAAGTTACAAAAGTAGGTTGGGTGACGTAATCTAATTGCTAGGGTTCAATGAAAAAATGAATGAGAGTCAAGTTAATAATCTGAGTAGAATTCACTTGAAAATGGGTGAGAGTTAAGTTGATAAGCTGAGTAGAATTCACTTAAAAAAAAACAAAAAACAAAAACAAAATGGAGTTAGCAACAGTCGTCATGAGGGTAGAGATTTAATAGAGGGTGGGGGTAGAAAATAATGCAATTAAGAAACAGACAAACAAAGAAGAAAGAGGTAAGACAAAATTACGTATTTGATGTTGAGATAGATCAGGACCATTGTAGATTTAGTGACTGAATAAACTTCTTTTGTATGCAGAGTTCAGGATTCAATATGTGAATTGCCATTGCTTCTGCAGTTTGAAGAAGTTTAATTCGCACTCTTTTGGCAAGGTTCCCACGTATTGTGTAGATAACTGAGAAGTTGCTTTGTGGGTTTGCTTGGTGTCCGGATTCGATTAGGTGTTCTAGGATAGAGCTGTGGCGGGGGGATCTTCTTGCCAAAAGAGTGCGAATTAAACTTCTTCAAACTGCAGAAGCAATGGCAATTCACATATTGAATCCTGAACTCTGCATACAAAAGAAGTTTATTCAGTCACTAAATCTACAATGGTCCTGATCTATCTCAACATCAAATACGTAATTTTGTCTTACCTCTTTCTTCTTTGTTTGTCTGTTTCTTAATTGCATTATTTTCTACCCCCACCCTCTATTAAATCTCTACCCTCATGACGACTGTTGCTAACTCCATTTTGTTTTTGTTTTTTGTTTTTTTTTAAGTGAATTCTACTCAGCTTATCAACTTAACTCTCACCCATTTTCAAGTGAATTCTACTCAGATTATTAACTTGACTCTCATTCATTTTTTCATTGAACCCTAGCAATTAGATTACGTCACCCAACCTACTTTTGTAACTTTATTTTAGTTCCTAACCGATTAACGCCTTCTAAATTACGTAATTTGTTGTCAAAAATTACCAATTGCATCTTTGGAAATATTCCTTTTGTTGCCAAGAAAAATTACTATAAATTTGCGGTTTGTACAGCTTGAGAATGATATCGCCGAAAAGAGTAACTCTTTGCTGAATGCCTTTTCTCCTAAATTGTTCTGTACTAGGAGTTTACTTTTTTTCTGACGAGGTTTCGGAACCCTTCTCAGTCTATACTGCTTCGAATCAGTGAAAGTTGTTTTTAGAGAGACCATTATATGGGTTGAAGCTCTTCTCATTTTCGTTAATGACAAATGTTATCTGCATTTCTTGTTGTTTCAACATCAATCCCATCTATCTGCTAAAGACTGCAAACATTTAATTTTATATTTCGTTACCACTCGTGCGAGTGGCTGACTGACTGACTGGTGAGCACTGAAATCGAAACTCCCATTCTCAAGTAAAATGCATATTAATATGTGATGGTGTGTTTATTTATCACTTAATGAATACTTAAATGCACTATAGAAAAATAAATAATTGTGTTGATAAATAATACTACACCCATTGTACTTTAAAATAAGATTAAGAACAAAGATATTGAGGCAACAAATTGGGGTCATGCTAAATGTTAAAAGCTAAGTACATTGCTTATCCATATAAGCGTTTTTGGTGTGGAAAATGGTTTAATTTCTCACTAGTCTCTCATTTTGGTTGAAACGATCATCCGGTATTTTAGAATACAAAATATGATATAATCAGTCATCTTATATATACATGTGGTGAGAGCTGGCTGCTAGCCAAATTGGTAGACAGTAATTTACGTCAATGTTTGCGTCCCCAATATTGACTCAACAACCAATCACAGCAGACTTTGAGCAGGCGGATACAATTTGCAGTTAGATAATCTGTACTTCAATAAACGGCCACAAAGAGATGAAAGATTAACGTTCAGTGAGAAACCAGCAATCAGAAGACTGTGTTTTTCTGCTAACAATAATCTATAATAATGTACATGAAAATCTATAAATATCTGTTGATTTCCTAAATAAAGGATCTGTTGCCTGGCCCTTGTCTTCCGTCGTTACATACATACTCAGTGAGTACTGGGCATCTGTCTCATCGCAGTTTCTGACTTTCCAGCAACACTCACCTATGACTTCTGGTTACAAGTCGAGCATGTTACTATTCAACTGTGAGATATGTTGGAGTCCAATAGTCTGCGAATTTAAACTTAAATCATTTTGTGATTTATGGTTACTGCTGTGCAATGTTCTCAAATCCAAGTTAGTGAACCCCTCCCGACATTGAGTTCTAACCCGATTGATTGATTGCTAACTTGAAGATCCTGATTTTGTTTTTGGAACTCAATTACTCTGAACAGACTTCTCATATACCAGGCTAAGATCTGCACTCATCATCAGTAGGTGGAGCAGGACTTGAACCCTGGATTTATCATCAGCTGAAACAGTGCTTAAGCCAGTGAGTCACACACACAGTGGCTGAGTGGTTAACAAGCTCTCCTCGTAAGCTGATGGTCCTAATTTCGATTCCTGGTGGGGTTAGAGGCGCGTACTGCTGAACAGTCTCAGGTAAAGACGAAACAGTTGTTCAGTGCTCCACATTTCTCAATTGATGCTCTGACTCACTTAGAGATCCGTGGTGAGATCGACCTTGAAATTAATCCAATCCTCACACAAACCAATATTTTTTAGAATTTATCTTGATAACTTTATTACCATAATAACAGACAGAATAATCTACTGAGGATAAATGTGGAAATCCGCAATGGTACTCTCATTTTTCAACCTAGTATTATATGACGTAGTTCGTTCTTCAAGTTTGCTACTGATGTTAGCCTCTATTGAAAACAGTATGACTATAATAAATTTCGTATAAATTTCTTATCTTCTAGGGTCATGCAGGATGTATAGACAAAGTTGAAGATGAGTGTGACTTCGGTCCATTGCGTGATATCATGTTACCAGCATTCTGTGTTAGTCTTCCACGAATAAATATTCCCATTGAACATGTTATCGGTGTTACTAAACGTCCACAAGGTAAGTCTATTACTTTCACTCGCATTCATTGACAATACACTGAACTGTCAGAGCCATTTTTAGGAATTATTATAATATTCATTATTCTGGGGTTAAGTATTTACTAATGTATGCAGGGCAGAAACACCCATTAAAAAGTATATACCGCAAAATCATGATTATTGTTTACTCAATCAATACCCACATATTCTGAAACCATTTATTCTGAACGAGGTTTGGATGTCTACAAAAGGAAACACCGTACTTCATGCATACTTCATAAGTACATAATGTGTTATAAAAACAAAAAATGCATGTTTGAGGACTCTGTAGATCAGTGTAAGGCAGTCGTCCGGAGGTGTCCGACGCCAGCAGTTGACACTCTTTCCTCTCCTTCAGCTAAACAAGCTGTTTATTATTATTATTGTTCTCTCTTTGCGTTGCGAGTGGAGCATAGGGCTCTGGCGACGCATATCCATTGCAGTTCTCTACAATCACTTTCAAATTACCCCACGATTGCTCATTTCATTTCCCCTTCACACGATCGTCTCCACACCACCTTTGGACGCCCAACCCATCGCTTCGCATTCAGATATCATTCGAGGTCCTGGAGTGTGATGTTGTAAAACTGTTTAACTTTCTAAAATGCACTTATGGACTTAACTCTGTGTGTGAGGTTGATGTTCTTTGCTCCTCAAAAGCAGGTTGACTAGTAGATACATATCAAGGTGACCAGGAGTGATATTTTTTTCTAAACGCACTATTTAATTAAGTTTCTACTCAAGAATGTGGAATGTATTCCTCAGAGACATAAAGAGGTCGTCTCTGTGGATTCCACCTATAAAATGGCACCATCGAACTCCATATATATGAAGGGAGTTTTCTTAGAGATTATTGGAACTTTTTGTGGTAGCAGTTGTGCCTGACGGTTGCAGTTGATAAGTGTATGTGGATATCCATTTTTTAAAATAAGGTAGTGTCAAGATGAAATATTTTAATCTACTGTATTTTATCTTCAGAATAGATCTTCCGAAACCCTGAACATAACAAACGTATGAGGTCTTCTTTTTTGATCAGTGGAACATAGTTTTAGAAGTTAGTAAACTTTTCGTCGCATGTTGGTTTTCTCTACATTAATCTATGTGTGGAATAATCTGGTGATTTATCAAAATAAAATCTTATCTATAATGCAGTTATACTCTACCACAGTGCCCAAGTCTTATAGGAATAATCTGGTATTCTATCAAGTAAAACAAATACAGAAATTATCAAGTGTTGATTTGCAGATCACAAGCTGACATCAATTAGAGAACTATTGGAAAACCTGAGAGTACTGGACAGCCGTTTCGTCCCAGTTCAAGACTCTTCAACAGTACCACCTACCGGGGTTTGAACCCCAGGACCTTCCGGTTACGACACGAGATCGTAGACCATTCAGGCACTGGGACGCAACCCAATGGCTCATGAATTCCAACTTCTGCCAATTCGTCATATATATTTAGCGCAACCACCACCAAAGTTAAGTTTAATTGCCGTTCTAGAGTAATTTTTTTATAGAAGGATGAGCTGTCTAATAAGTGCTGAGGAGATTTTCTAGGTCAAATACATCATCACGAATGGTAAAACTGTGATCTTCATGTCTTTTGTAAAGATAAAGTTGATTGATTAGTGGGTTGAGGGTATTATTTTCAAGACTGGTCATAAAGTAGTCAGTGAGAGGTAGGATAAATGGAGGAGGATTCTGCATTCACACCATGTTTTCTTACGCATAACTGTTCTACGAACCTTAATTGAGTAGTTCCTTCAGGTAGTTGGTGTTAAGAGAAATGTTTAGGTTGTTAGATATGATATAATTACAAATAGGACATTTTGCTTCAGTTAAGGGATATTTATATAGAAGGAAATAGTTCCTAGGGAGAAATAGCATTTTAACATGTTAACACTTTCCTTACTAATCTGATAAGAACTAAAGCATCTTCAATGGTTATACCTTGTCATGTATGTGCGCGCCGGTTGGAGCACGTGCCAGTCATTTAGGTGTCTGATGGTACTGAGAGTTGACGATATGTATAATTTCATCTAACTGTCGACCGAGAGGTTCTCTGGCGATGCTTGGCTGTAAAGGGAATGCCGAGAAAATACATTGCACTGATTAAGGCACTCTACTCGTACTCATGCAGCCAGGTGAGGGCTTATGGCGAGTTGTCATCTGAAGTGGTGACGACTAGTGGCGTCCGTCAAGGATGCACATTATCCCCATTCCTATTCAACTTCATCATAGACGTATTAATGGACTTAACCCTAACACACTTCAGCGACTCAGGGATTGACTTGCTACCAGGGAATAATCTCGTCGATTTAGAATATGCGGACGATATAGTCCTTCTAGGCGAGGACGCTGACAAAATGCAGAGTCTACTGAACACCTTGAGCAACAATCTTCGTATGTTAGGCATGCGATTCGCCCCTGTAAAATGTAAGATAATGTTTCAGGATTGGACTACACCGACTCCTAGATTAGAAATAGGAAGTGAAGAGGTAGAGCACGTTGACCGCTTCACTTACTTGGGAAGTACTATCAGCCCCAACGGGTTAATCTCCGACGAAATCTCAACACGAATACAGAGGGCTAGTTTCTCATATGCCAGTTTACGCAGTCTCTGGCGTAGACGTGATATCCGACTATCGACCAAAGGGCGTGTGTAATGCTCAACAGTCCGCTCCGTCCTCCTTTATGGCTAGCTGCCAGACCTGGCCATTGAGAGCAGAAGACATGAAACGATTATCTGTGTTCGATCATAGGTGTCTGCGTTCTATCTCCCATGTTAAGTGGTATAATAAGGTGAGCAATATTGAGGTTAGGCGTCGAGTGCTAGGTGAGGAGGGGAAATCAGTCGACGAAACTGTGAAAATACATCGACTGAGATGGTTAGGACATGTGTTACGCATGCCAGCCTAGTCATCGCCTTCCTCGACGGGCAATGTTAGCTGATATAGGGTCAGGCTGGAAAAGAGCTAGCGGCGGTCAAACGAAAACATGGCACCAGTCAATGAAATCCACAACAGTTAGTCTAAGCCACGTAGGAAGATGTAGACTTCCTGGTTGGGGTCCTCGGGACGGTAAAAATCAATGGTTGGAAACAATTGGTGACATGGCTCAAAATCGTTCTCAATGGCTGGCGCAGATGCATCCACTCTTTGTGACTTATGATTTCCAATTAAACTGTTTTGTTCTTCGTTATTACTATTCGTTTGTCTCACACCTCTGTTTACTGTCTCTAATATGCATTTCTCCTACTTTCTTCTCTTGCTTTGTGTGCTACATGGAGTGTGGCGACTTGAACTGCCGCACATATGTGCAAAGTTCCATGTCGAAAACCGACCGACCGACCGACCGATATGTATAATAAGTTGAGGAGGAACATTCTCCTTAGGCACTTCAGGTAGTTCGTATTTATGCCGTGAAATGGTTGAGAGAAATGGCCTTACTTTCTTCAAACATCTATATTGCTTCAAGTGATTTATTTCGGTTTCGTCTTGTAGTAATTTGTTGGGTTTGACAGTTTACCGGCATATTTGAGTTTTTTCATTATTGTGATTCCTATGCCTTTATCTGGACAAAATGAGATTGTCTCTATCCTTTTGGAGTTATCTGAGAGTTGTTTTCTCTATCTTTATGATAGGAGATGACGACGACTAGGTCATGTTTTCATGTAACTGTAGCAGCTATCCACGTCTATAGGATTGCAACTGTTCAAGATCTTTTTTAAAACACAGTGACGAGTCAAGTGTCTGGGATTTAATTAATTTCTCAAACTGAACGTTCAACATCACTGGTTGTCAATATAAATCACTATATAAAAAAAAATTATTACATCACTTTTTTATATCACGTGATTTTTGAAAAGTTTCTTTATTTTCTCTCCCGAATTTTCAGTAAACTTTGTTCTAGCACACTTTTTGTTGTTGTTGTTTCTTTTCTCTAGGTCGAGCTATTTCAACGGATTGGTCCAGTAGTGGCGAAAGCAAAGAGGATAGTTGGCAGGATACACGGTCGCCTAAAGAAGTTATAGATCATGCTAGTAGTGACGGTAAGAAGAAATTGTTGTATGCGAATTTTTCTTATTAACCTTCATAAAGGCGCAACTATCAGGTATTACATTTTTTTATGACTTTGTATAGGTTATTTTATTTGCACAAGCGCATGCAAGACTTAGCGTCGGTGGCATAGCGGTTAGGACGCTCGCCGACCATGCACATGGTCCGGGGTTCGATCCCCGACCGACGCACTCCTTTACCTCGCTAAGCCAGAAATAATGCTGGTGAAGAGGAAAGGTTGTGCATGAGGCTAGCAATCCCATCCTGTAAAATAAACACTGCTACAGAAACTTCAAGCCACTAGCTTGAAGCCCTATATTCCACTGGGGAACGTGAAGGAAAAAAATACAAGACTTGCTAATGTAACTTGGTGGATGGTGACCACCGGTTGCGCATTTCGTCCTAATTATTGAGACTCGTCATCTGGATGTGTCTGCAATCTCCAGTGAGTGGTGTTGCCGCTGAGACTCGAATCTAGTACCAAAGCGTTGGGCCACGACAGCCACCTCTTGTGCGACGGGTATCAGTTGTTACTTATTTACGTTGGTTTTGTTTTCCCCGTTAATTGATTGGATTCATCGCTGACTGGAGATTGCAGGTACATCCGTTCAGTTGACGAGTCCCAGACAGGACGAAATACATATTCTGGATTTCACTGCTTTTCATCATACACCGGATAAAATCTTGTTAATCTCCATGGGAAAACCCAGCATAGCCTGTGAATTGAAGACAGGGGTAAGACAAGATTGCTTACTATTAACGGTTATGTTCCTAATTGTGGTGGTGGACTGGATTATGCGGAATACCGTACATGGGGAATAAGAAGATAGGAATACATTGGGCCAATAAGAAGACTCTCGAAGATCTGGACTTTGCGGACGATTTTTATCTAATGTCACATAAACTCTAGGCGAAAACCAACAAGTTGGCAGAAGAGCCAGGCAACGAAGACAGGACTTGAAGTGAATATACAGAGAAGATGGAAGTAATGAAGATAACCAACCAACAACAACCAGCACCAATCCCTGTCAGCCGAAGAAATTTGAAAAAGGTCACTTCCTTCACTTACTTAGGCGCCATTGTTTCAACTACAGGTGGGGTGGCATGGTTGAGGATTTCAAAACCAGAGTCGGAAAGGGAAAGGCGGACCCTCATCATTCTGAGCTCAGCATAAACAGCAAAATTCAGATTTTCAACACCAATGTTAAGCCGGTCAGTTCAGAAACCTGCACTGCTTGTCACGAAAAGCATTTCGAACAGGCTACATACTTCGCTGGCTCCACATTGCAGATCAGCTGACCAGAAAGAATTAGCAAGAAGGAGCTCTGGGAACAAACCAACGAAGAAGAGACACGCTGAGGAGACGGTGAAGTGACATTGCGCGCCAGGTCATTGCTTGAGTGGAAGGTGGATGGGAAATGACGAGCTGGGCATGTGTCCGAAGGTGATATGGAGGAGATCGTATGAGAAGGAGACTAGAGAGTATGAGCGATCGTGAGGTTAGCTGAAGAGAACTACAGAAAAATAGGACAGTGGGGATTTGCTATTGAAGCCCTATGTTCCACTCGGAACCCAAGGGAATAATAATAACAGTCCTCAGATACATCGTCGAAGCGTCCGTACTGGGAGCTGACACATGTCACCAGAAACGGAAAATTGACTTAAACCTTGAGGATATTCAAATTTTAATATTTATACTTATGTCAATTAAACATTTAGAGTTGTAGTTAGCTTGTGGTCTCTGTTTCTTGAGGGTTAATAGAAATCACGAAAGTGAGTAAAAAGCATTTTCTTTTCTAGGTAGGTAACCAAATCGTTTTAGAAGATGTTAGCCTATACAAGATTTTCATACGAATCACTTATCAATGTGTTTTTTTTATTTCTCCTGATTGTTTTCATTTAGAATATGTGTGCGTATTCGATGGTATTGGAGCTTTGAAAAGGCGTTCATGTCGAAGTTTTAGCTTTTCAAAATCAATGTCCACTTATTCAGCTGTGAAAAGATTTCTAAAAACATTTCATTTGGCTGGAACACCTGATTATTACAATGTGTATGAAGTTAACGAATATGGTATGTTGTCGTCTATTTCAACAAAATAGACTTGTCAAGCTAACATTTGTGTATTATACTTTTGTTTTATGTGACATTTATTCAGTACTATTTACGTACGTATATATGCATATATTGTGTACAGCATTTATATTCACTTCTGAACAGATTTTTAACTTCGTTATACTGTTTTACTGACTCATTATTATATTATTTATTTGGGTTCCGTGGGGAACACTGTGTTCTTTGCAGCTTTTGTATCTGGCTGCAAGATTGCCTGTAAGCCCTCATTTTCTTCCCCTCCCTACACGGTCTCCTTCGTGTGACTGTTGGACCTATGGCAAACTCGTCGTTTCTCATTCGGTTTCCATTCGAGGGCTAACTGTTGGTACGTGATATCATTCAATGGGCTTCTCAGTGCGTATGTCCAATCCATTCCCATTTTCCTATACATATATGTTGGGCGATAGGTTCTTATTTGCTTCGTTGCTACAATTCTTTGCTGTTAATCTTTTCTTGCCGGCGGCTCTTTGATCTTCAGCATATAGCGAAGGCATCTATGGATAAAAGTTTGTATTAGCCTGTTGGAAATGCCTTTTGTGAAGCATAAATTCCCTAAACCTCATAGAATCACTGACTTGAAATTAGTGCTGAAGATTCAGATCTTCTTCCTTATGCTGAGTGCAGAAGATTTCCGCACTGATTTCGGATTAATGAATGTCTGTCTTGCTTTTCTGATTCTGGCTTGATATCCTCCTCTGTGCTGCCTGTAGTTGTGTAACGACAGAAGACAAGGGCCAGGCAACAGATCGTTTATTGAGAAAATCAAGAGATATTTATATATTTTTATGTACATTATTATAGGTTATTGTTAGCAGAGAAACAGCGTCTTCTGATTGATTGTTCTCTCGCTGAATGTTAATCTGTGATCTCTTTGTGGCCATTTATTTGAAGGTTATACCATACATATATATGCGAATCGTATCCGCCCACGCAATGTCTTTGTTCTTGTTCTTTTCTCATGACCAAGATTTTGGATTTAAACATTGACGTAAATTGCTGTCTACCAAATTTTGGCTGGCAGACAGCTCTCACCACAGTTGAAACGATGCTGTCTAGGTCACATAAGTGAAAGGAGTGACTTCCTTTAGAATTTCCCCATTGACGATGATTGATGCTTGTTTTTGTCGGCTAGGTACATTCGCCGTCTCTATCTCCTCTATGTTCACTTGAAGTTTGGTCTTCGCTGCTTTTACTGCAAACTTGTTAATTTGCGGCTGTTGATCTTCGAGTTTGTTTGACATCATCAGCGATGTCCAGATCTTCCAGTGTTTTCGCATCGGCAAAACGTATGGCCGTCTTCTTGCTCTGCACGGTTTGTTGCATGACCCAGTTGATCACACTCAGGAATACCATTGGTGATAGTAGGTAGCCTTGTTTTACTTCTGTCTACCTGGTTACCCAAACTTTAGTAGGTAGAGCGGAGTTCGACCTCCTGACGCAGTGATTAATGTCAAGCTCCTTAACCTAATGCTTTAAAACTATAGATTCGTTTCAGATTAGTATATAAATGTTAATTGACAACAGTCAGTCATTGCTACTTAGCAGTTGTAAGTCATTTGTAATAAATCCGCTAAATACCTATGGTTGTAGCATAATTTATTAGTGGTCTTATAGGTTATCTGTTTCACTCAACATATATTTGCAAATAAAATAGTTTGGTTAACAACAGAATGAATACGAGTAAGAAACTCTATCAAAAACACTCGAAATGAGCGTTTGTTGCCTCAAATTATATTGTAGATAGGGGAGAAGAAAATTCCATCATTTTCACCATTGATTTCGATTTTGAGCCATGGTTGATAACGTCACCACCCATACTGTTCCTGAAGAATCATGATGCAGCAATGCATGCCAGCGTAACACAACTATCCTTGATCTTGCGTCACCACGTTATGGGCTGATCACTTTCCTGCTTTTTCTTTAGTGATTTCAAGGACTAGCAAACAGTAAATGGTGTGAAGAGCCACTGGGATTACATTCATGGTACATATCCCAGCCACCGAAACCGATTTCCCCGGATGATATTACAAACTGATAGGCAATAGTTACTCTATTCAAACTGGCGTCTAAGAGTTACTTACAGAGGGATATTCCTGTAAACGGCGCAGATGGCTTTAATCGCCATCTCTATGATTTACTATAGGATGGAGTGCAAATATAGAAAATATCCTCATTTAGACATTAGGAAAACAAAAAGATTGAGCGAAGAAATATTTACTTTTCAATTAGATCCTCATCTCTGGCTCTACTCTAATATATTCTGTATAGCATTTTTTACAATACACAACAATTTACCAAACAAGTGGTGATATGTTTGTTAACAATAATTAAACAGTGTCAAAATGTCAATGGGTTGATAATTAACGAAGAAAATCAATACACATTTAAAAGTAGAAATGGATAGAATAAATTAATTTTACAAGGATAACACATAATTAAAGATGAAGTGGTCAAAATAAAAATAAAATAATTTGGACAATTATAATTTAATAGGGGGAGGGGGGCGACGTAGTCCTGTCTTGTAACGATGGCCACGGTAAGGAAAGTGGCTGTACAAATTTCTTCTGTACACATAGGCTTGGTTTCTTCTGGTGGATTCCGATTGCTTCAGCTGTCTGTAGAAGACGAACTCGTAGAGCAAAGTTAAGATTAGTCGGAATGCGATAAATAATTTTGAATGCAGTATTCACGTCAACCTTATGCTCAGTATCAACAAGGTGTGCTAAAATAGAACTACGAATAGATCTTGTTTGTCCCTTGCTTAACCACGCTTGATGATGTTCAGAAGTATGACGATGAAACTGCCTAATTGTACGCCCAATGTAGCTGGCTCCGCAGCTGCAGTCAAACTGGTAGACACACATAGAAGAGGCAAATAATTTGTGTAACATAACATGTATACTCAAGAAGATAACATCACCTGTCAGTCGTTGTAATTGGTGATTTTATATAGAAGCTCATCCTACCTACTGAAATTTTCACTTGATCTCGGTATTTGTCTTCCTTTTGTTCTCACTTTTCAGATGGGACTGAAAACAAGCTCAACTATCATGTTAACTTACGGAGTCAGTTAAGATTTGATTTGAAACAACCGTCAATACTTATACGATCTAAAGAACCAGAAGAATCGACACTAACGATTAAAGTGTATGCCGGTGATCTTCGGTATGTTTAAAAATTTCAAATTTATCAGATTCTGTGTGCTTTTTAATATACATCACTTAGTGTTTAAGTAGAATATGTTTTTTTTTAAATATTGAAATAAATATCCCTGAAAACCAGGGATTACTGAACAGCTGTTTCGTTCTAGTTCCAGACTCAAGTTATGAGGTCGTAGTTCAATGATCCATTGTTCCTAACTTCTACCAATTCGTGATACATTTTGCCACTGTCAGGTAGTGTCTTCAGCGAGTGTTGACTGACAACAGTAATAATGCTGGGTTTTGGGTTCGACACTGAAATGCAGTAGACAACTCTACCGAAGGCTGAATACGATTATTCTCCCTCAAATAACTTCTGCTATCTTGAGCCCATTGGAATAAGTCAGAAGATAGGACTGACCGGTGAGAACAATCTCGTGGTTAGGCAAAAATACATACATTACTAAATAATTGATTTGATTGGCTGCATACTGTTGGGTATCTGATTGTCCAATCATATTTGGCATCAACTTCTGCCTCAGTAGCCAATAGCCTAAGTCGGTTTTCAACCCAGAAAATACAGTTATTTTAAGATGAGATAAAATTAGGGTTATGTAGTATTTATTTAATAATACCAGCTTGTTTGTAGCATTGTACCAAATTTTCTAGTATGTGTCACAGCGGTATGATATTACTTGCTGGCAGGTGAACAATGCACAATGGATATGTGGCTCACTGGCTTGTGCATCCGACTTTCAACTAATAGTCCCTCAGGTTCGAGTCCCTCTTCACTTATTTCAGCTTGGGTAACTGGGTATTATAATCAGCCTTCACACACGCAGTATTTGTGACTCAGCTTGGTGCATGAGTCATCTGTCCCGGGAAACTGAAATCTAACTTAAGAAGCTCTAACTAAAGAAAATGCACCATAGAATGCAGTGTTGAGGTATGAAGATTCCTAAGGTTACAGTTTTAGAAACACGCAAAGAATGTAAATCGAAATAGGGTAGAAAATACAACAGAAATTTGAAGATATCATGTGAAATAATCAATAACAGGGGAATAAGAAACACAAAGATTGTTGAGATTTTCATATTGTTGTCCTTTTCACAAAGATTGTTGAGATTTTCATATTGTTGTCGCTTTTGTCTGCTGCTACTACTGAGCAGTCTTCAGTCAATAGTTTTTAAAATCTCTAAACGTGGAACTGAATTATACACTTGTCTGGTAATCCACTTTGTATCGGATCATACTTTTTTTTGTAAGCTATGCATAATTTATGTGTGTATTTTATTATTTTTCTTTCTTTATTACGAATATCAAAACAGAGTTGGTAAACTGTATTGATTTTTCTTCTTACAGTCTGTTGCTTGCTCCGCATGTACCACCATACGAAGAGGTAACTATCACTCCGGAGACTACGGCGGCAAAAGTTGTTGCAATGGCATTAAATAACTTTGGCTGTGGAGTAAGTTAAACTTTGAACTGCGACGATATATGAATCATTGTTATTATTATTTCCTTTGCCTCTGGGTAGAATATAGGGCTTCAACAGACAGCTACATCTTCATTTCACTCTGTTCTCTGAAGTGTTTTTCATCTGGCTCCTCGACTGCCCGTAAGCCTTCGCTTTTCCTTCTGACATGGTCGTCTTCATGTTACCCTTGGACTCACGTCCAACTTGTCGTTTCTCATTCTGGTTCCACTCAAAGTCTGTCAGGCAACAGTCTCCTCAGAATATGTTCTTTCCACTTCCATTTCCTTCTGCATAGTTGTTGGCTGGTTCGTTGACAGAATTCCTTTCCGACCGACTATCTCATCTTCAGTATGCAGCCAGTGAAGACAGCTATTATTATTATTATTTCCTTTAATTCAGCCGCGCGTCTCCATTGCGTTCGGTTCTCTGCTAGAGTCTTCACCTGGCTACAAGTCTGCCCACTTGCTTTCATCTCCTCTTCACATGACCTCCTCCAAGTCAACCTTTCACTGACGACCAACTCGCCGCTTCCCTTTCGGGTTCCACTCGAGCAATGGCTTGTCTAGTGATGTCACTTGATGGTTTCCTCAGAGTATGGCCAATCCACCTCCATTTCTTCCTGCCAATTTTTTTCACAATCGGTTGGTTCACTCCCAGAGATCCCTTCCTGTTGCTGATCTTTTTTGGCCATCTGATCTTGAGTATTGAGCGAAGACAGCTGTTAATGAAGGTCTGTAGTTTGTTTGAGATGCTCTTTATGACGCGCTGGCCAATTCTCTGATCCGTATAGTAGCACTGACTGACTTCACATTGGAGTTGAAAATCCAGATCTTATTTTTGACGCTGAGTGCTGTTGATCTCCACACAGACTTGAGAGTAGTGAAAGCTTGTCTTGCTTTTCCGATACTTGCTTTGATATCCTCATCAGTTATATCCGCCTGTAGTTGAAACGATGCTTCCCAGGTAGATAAAGGATGTTGTTTCCATCAGGTTCCTCCCATTTATGTTGATCGTTGTCTGTTGCTGTTGTTGCTGTTGATGTTGCCAAGGAGACAACTATTAATGAAAGTCTTTTTTTCGTGACTTTTCATCAAAACTGCAAAGTCATTTGAGAATGTCTTAATAACTGTACATTTTTTATGAAAAGTTATGAAAAGAGACCTTTTTGGTGAATTATACATTCTGAATTCACACCACATGATGTAATAGTAGAAGACGAGAGACTTGGTATTTCCATACACCTTATCTTCAACTCACCATTTGCACAGGTCTTCCGTATTGTGCTACTTCTCACCTCCCTTCATGTTGTGTTTCTTTGTGTTCCTTTCAATTCTCCCATTTATCTCTGCAACACCGTATCATTTTCTTTTTCTGATATCAAATCTATGTTCTTGCTATTTGGTGTTTTTATTTTGGTTAAAGTCTCTCTATATACTACTGATAAGTCTTATCAGTAGCACACGCCACAATGGGAGTTTTTACTTCTGACTACACTTATGTATTGATTACTTTGTATATCTTAACAATTTTTTCGGTTTTCCATTATCATAGATCTAAGTGACTGAGTAACTATAACTTCCTTACTTCCTAAGTCTGAAAGTAAAGGACTGTCTTTCAGAAGTAGTCGGATGACAAAAATTTTGTATCCTTAATAACGCTTATCCTTCGGAAAGCAGACATGTTTAATGAAAAAAAGTACAAGTGTTGCTAAAGACCAATGGTTACCGATGAAGCTTGTGGCACTTTGCTTTGAAATCAAGTTCTTCCAGTTTATTTTTAAAAAAAGATATAGATAGAAGGACGATGTTGGTTGTTGATTAGAGTATGAAAATACTTCTGTTTCTCTCCTCATGACTTCATATTATGAAAGGTGATGTATATATTATTATTATTCCCTTGGGTTCCGAGTAAAACATAAGGCTTTAACAACACATCTCCACTTTTTTGATTTTCTACCATCCTCTTCAGCTGGGTCTACGGTTTTCCATAATGTCTCATCTCTTCCTCACACAATCTCCTCCATTCACCCTCCCACTGACGGCCCACTCGTCGCTTCCCATTTGGATTCTACTCGAGTAATGACCTGAATTGCACGCGATATCATTCTATGGTTTTCTCAATGTATGCCCGATTAATCCATCTCCATTTTCTTTTACGTATTTGTTGAGCGATCGGCTCTCGCCTGTTGGTTCCTTCCACTACAGAGTTTCTTGTTACTAATTCTTTCTGGCCATTTGATCTTGAGTATGGGCGAAGGCAGCTGTTGATGAAAGTCTGCAACAAGCTGTTGGAAATCCTTTTCGTTACACGCCGGTCAAGTTTCTGACCCGTATAGATGGACCGACTTGACATTGGTGTTGAAAATGCGAATCTTGTCTCTTATGTTGAGTATAGAAGATTTCCAAACTGGTCTCAGGTTGATGAAGGCGTACCTTGCCTTTCCAATTCTGACTTTGACATCTTCATCCGTTCCGCCTGTAATGAAAGTTAATACCTTCGATATCTGTGTCACAGACCAGTCAATGCAGTCAGGTATTATAAATAGTTTCATGTATGGAAATATCACCTGTCAGAATCGTCCAGTAATATTTTATGCATCAATACTTATTACTGAATGTTTTAAATTTGCTTTCCTCAATACTAAATTCAACAGTCTTTGAAGTTTCAGGGTGTCTCAGGTCGCTTTCTGATGAAATGAGAATCCTCATAATAGAATAAGTGTAATTCCATATAAAGGAAGCATAAATTTCTTTGATTGATTAAGGTTAGAGATGTAGCAAGCGTTTTAAAACTGTTACAAAAACAATAAAAGAAGGAAAGTTGAAGGAAAAAGTTGTGTGAGTAACTTGATATGATTATGAGCAATAATTTGTGCTCGAAACGTCATCAGTTAATATTACTGTGTAACACTGTGTGATTTATGAAAATAAAATCTTATCCATAATGGAGAACAATAAAAGAAGTTAAAAACCAATGGTTGGAAACAATTGGTGACATGGCTCAAAATCGTTCTCAATGGCGCAGATGCATCCACTCCTTGTGACTTATAGTATCCAATGAAACTGTTTTGTTCTTCGTTATTGCTAGTCCTTTGTGTCACACCTCTGTTTACTGCCTATATTATTATGCATTTCTCCTACTTTCTTCTTTTGCTTTGTGTGCTACATGGAGTGTGGCGACTTGAACTGCCGCACATATGTGCAAAGTTCTATGTCGAAAACAGACAGACAGACATACAAGAAGTGCTACATGTGTGTGTATGCGTGTTGTGTATTTCTGTCGACTCGACCTCCTTTTATATGTTTTTGTTTTCAGCGGCTTGATTGATTTCAATTTCGGTTACGAACTGTCATCAATTAGAGAATCATTGAAAGTCAGGGGATACTGTTTCTGCCTAGTACACAGCCATGACCCTAATGCAGATTAAACCCAGGGCTTTCAGGTTACAATGTGAGTCCGTTGTCTACTCAGGCAGTTGGACAGAATGCAATAACTCATGAATTTTAATTCCTATCAATTCTCTATATATACCGCACCTGCCGTCACTGGGGTGTATTTGTTCTTACACCCTCCTGGGTGGATCCCACTGTCCACGAAGAACCTCACACTAGACGACTAGGAACTCCGTGGTTTCCATTGGTTCTCTAACTGATGCCAGCTCGTGGTCTAATCTTAGATTCGATATTGTCAATCTATCAAAATATTATTTTTAAAACATTTTACTATTATTATTATTTTTTTTCAAAATCAGCATATGAGTCCGGATGACTGTTATCTAAGCAGTGTATGCATTGATCGAACTGTCAGTGAACAATTATTAAGCAAAGATGATAGACCAATGGCACTATTGGATCAATTACGCGAAGAATCAGCGAGAATATCACAATTTACACGATTTGAATTACGTTTTGTTGAAGATCCACCGATTGGACCAAGTGTATCTCTATTTGTTGGTAATCTGAAAGAAAATCTCTCTGAACGTCTATATGAACGTTTATTATTAGAGAAATTAGGTGAAAAATGTCGATGGGATTCAATTGATGTTATTTATTATGAAAGTGGTTGTCTTGTCTTAAATTATCATTCAAGTGAAAAAGCTGAACAAGCCTATGAATTGTTAAGTGTAAGTTATTATTATTATTATTATTGTAATGATAATTATTTGATCGTTTAAAGTGGATAAACTATTGATTTCTTGACCGAGCGTTGATCTTTATTTACTTTGCCTTTTTTGTATTATTTCACAACTCCGGTAGTAGTTGCATCAGATACAGCCAAACCTTTCGTATTAATTTTTTTTTAAATAGTTGTTTTTGTTTACCAATTGTATATTCTACAACTCTGTAGTGTGTTCAAGAAATTCATGTTTACTTGTACTACAATTAGATGATTTTGTTTTAAAAGAAAACGTTTCCTAACTGTTTGAAGTTCAAGAGGCTAAGAGTAGAGAAGAGCCTTGAACTTTAATGTATCTTTAGTTGAAGGAGCCAAAATAAATTATGCTACAAACTATGCTGGTAGATAATTGCTACTTAATTTCCTGTAATCCTGCTCATCTGAGTTACCACTGACTGTGCGTCGGTGGCACAGCGGTTAGGACTCTCACTGACCATGCACATGGTCCCGGGTTCGATCCTTTAATTCGTAGAGGAACATAGGGCTTCAGCTGCACGTCTCCATTGCTTTCGGTTCTCTCCTAGAGTTTTCACCTGGCTCCATGTCTGCCCACACGTTTTCATCTCCTCTTCACATGACCTCCTCCAAGTCACCCTTGCACTGACGACCAACTCGCCGCTTCCCTTTCGGGTTCCACTCGAGCAATGGCTTGTCTAGTGATGTCACTTGATGGTTTCCTCAGAGTATGGCCAGCCAATCCATCTCCATTTCTTCCAATCTATTCGTTTCACAATCGGTTCCTGGTTGGTTTACTCTCATAGATCCCTATTGTTGAACTTTTCTGGCCGGCCATCTGATCTTGAATGGTATTGAGCGAAGACAACTGTTAATGAAGGTCTGTAGTTTGTTTGAAGTGCTCTTTATGACGCGCCAAGTCTCTGATCCATATAGCAAGTAGCACTGACTTCACATTGGAGTTGAAAATCCGGATCTTGTTTTTGATGCTGAGTGTTGTTGACCTCCACACAGACTTGAGAGTAGTGAAAGCTTGTCTTGCTTTCCCGATTCTTGCTTTGATATCTTCGTCAGTTCCACCTGTAGTTGAAGTGATGCTTCCCGAGGTAGGTAAAAGAGGTTGTTTCTTTCAGGTTCCTTCTATTTAGGCTAATCATTGTCTGTTGTTGTTGTTGTTGTCTAGGAATCTTCATCACCTCTGTTTTCTCTATGTTCACCTGAAGTCCTATCTTTGATGCTTCTTCTGCCAAGTTGTTGCTTTTCGCTTGCATATCTTCCAGTTTGTGGGAAATCAGACATATATCATCGGTGAAGTCCAGATCCTTTAAGTTCTTTTTTGTGTGAGTCCATTTTATGCCTGTTTCCTCATTGCCCGTCCGCTGTTTGTCGCATTATCCAATCTACTGCAATCAGTAATTCCATACTTGTACCAAAAATAAGGTGTGGAATCAAGCTATAATCAAAAAAATAATAATAAAGCTTTGCACAAAAGTGCACTATTTCAAGTTGCCTCACTTATAACTGATGGCCTGCTTAAAACTTGGGCTACCAAAACCTTCCATCTCTCTCTCTCTATATATATATATATATATTGCATATAATATCTCACGTTCGCTTTGTTTTAATCGATTAAAATATAACCTGTAATAGTATTATTTACTCCTGCGAGTATTTAAACTATTTACAACCTGCTGATTCACTAGTTTGTACTAAACTTGAGAAAAGACCTGATCGTGGGTGGTGGTGGTGGTTGTGGCAACGTATCCCAATGCACATCAGATAACTGTTCTTGAGTTATGTTCTTGAATCTCGAAATTTACTCCTGAACTTTTTATATTTGGTTTTCAACCAAATATATTGTGGATTTCTCGAAGGAAACAAAGCAGAAATATCATAATCGATTGATTGGTTTGCGCTTTAGGTTGGGCAGCAGTGTGTCACGCGATCTACTGTCAATTAATCTGTTTTATTTGAAGATCCTGTACGAAGAGAAAAAAATATAATGCAATAAACTTTGCTGAAATATTCTGTACATTAAAAAAGCACTGTCTAGAATGAAGCTATTATTATTATTATATTAAAAGTACACATAATGGTAGAGAGGAAGAAGGAAGTGTAAAGAAGCTTGTAGTAAACGGAAATGTACGGAGGTGGGGGAGGGTAGGAAAAGGTAGCTGAATGGAGAACAATGAGAATCTAAAAGTGTAGGAGATCACAAAGGGTGAGAACGATTCTGAGTCCTGTAAGTCCTTCTCCTCAAATATATATATATATATATCGTTTACAATCCAACATATCTAGCTACGATAAATTATTGAGTGTCGAGTGGAGCAAATGGCTTCAAGCTTCACAAGTTTCGGTAGCGGTGGTGGGTTTGTTGACTTACTATCCCCTGTTCCGGGTTTACTGTGGGTTGTACTTTGCAGAAAGTGTCAGAATGGTCGGCAGTTAGTTCTGTTACTGAGAAAATATGATATCTCCATTATAACTCTAAAAATGTCTATATATTCAGTAACAAATATGACCTTTTTTTTTATTCCTTTACGTTCCCAGTGGAACATAGGGCTTCAAGCTACAGGCTTGAAGTTTCGTTAGCAGTGGTGTTTATTTTTACGGGATGTGGGGTTGCTAGCCTCATGACCAACCTTCCGTCTTCACCAGTCTTATTACTGGCTTAGCTAAGTTGAATTAGTGCACCCACCGGGGGTCGAACCCAGATCACCTACATGGCTAGCGAGCATTCTACCGCTGTGCCACCGACGCACATATATGACTTACAAGTTTTAATTTCTTCTATCAACGTGTTGTGTTTCAATACTGTGCTTACTTCAAACATATTCTTGAAGTCACTCGCCACCAGACACCTATTTAGGCTTATCAGGGAAACAGGTGGCAAATGGCAAATGATAAGTGACACAATCTCAGAGCGAAATGATGCCCTAATTAGCTCTCAGGATAAATGACTGGAACTTTGGAAGGGACATTTTGAGGAGCAATGTAACTGGCCCACAGCCACGTTCAACTTGCGCAGCATATCCAACATCCACCTGAATCGGTCCCCCCATCTGTAATTGAGGTCACAAAGGCTGTTTCTAGTGTGAAACGAGGCGAAGCAACAGGACCTGGTGGAATTATTCCAGAGGTGTTTAAGGATGGTGGTGACATACTTCTCTCTGGGCTGATCGCTGACGAAATCTCAGCATGGATGCAAAAGAATCGTATGGCATATGCCAACCTGCATCATCTCTGGCGTAGACGTGAAATCCGACTGTCAATCAAAGGACGTGTGTACTATACAGTGGCAGTTCGCACCGTCCTCCTTTATGGCTGTGATACATGGTCATTGAAAGTGGTAGACATGGTGAGACTAACTGTCTCTGATCATAGGTGTCTTTTCTCCCGTGTTATCTGGCATGATAGGGTCAGTAATATTGAGGTTAGACGTCGAGCGTTAGGCAAAGATGGAAAATCAATCGATGAAGGTGAGTCAATTGAAATGGTTAGAAGATGAGTTACACATGCCTAGCCATCTCTTTGCTCAACGCGCAATATTAGCTGACATAGGATCGATCAGGTTGAAGAAGAGCTAGTGGTGGTCAAACCAAAACATGGCATCAGTCAGTGAAATCCATAACAGTTAGTTTAAGTCACGTAGGGAGATGTAGACTTCCTGACTGGTTGGGGTCCTCAGGATGGTAAGAACCAATGGAGGCTGGAGACAATCGGTGATATGGCTCAAAATAGTTCTCAATAGCGCAGATGCCCTCACTCTTTGTGGTCTGTCATACCCATAAACCCCTATTGTTTTTCTATGTCACTATTTTACCTCCTTTACATTTCTGTTTACTATCGTCCTTTCGAACCCCCTTTTTTCTCTTTTGTCTTCCTCTGTGTGCGACATAGAGTATAGTAACTGGAACTGCAGCATTTCTGTGCAAAGTTCTGTGATGAAACCAGTTAGTCACTCGCCTAGGAGACAAAGCATATGGATGTTGATGTTGTTATATTTGAACCTTAAAGTGCTAAAAGAGTATAGGTATCTGGATGCATAAAATAAATAAATAAAATCATTGTGTATACAGTGTAAAACCAATGTACTCATCTCAGTAGTTGGTAGAATTGTCCAGTATCATTACATCTGAGTAGTAATATTTTCACATCGCGAGCTATAATGTACACATACGTAAGATTGAAGATGTCGACTGTTTTAAAGAAGCTTCTCTATTTTTTTTATAGAGTAGATCTTTGTTTTAGTTAGAACTCGTTTAGATGGTAATCTGCTGTGAGCAACACTTATTCTGTGAAGTTCGAGGATACTATCTGGCTACCTAGTCTAAAGTAGATGGTGTGTTGGTACCCATAAAACGGGAAGTTGCATGCTTAATCCATAGACACTTGAATCACTATATATATATATATATATATATATATATATATATATATACAGAGAGAGATAGAAAGTAATTAAATACTTTATGCTTAGTGAAGCCATTTTGATGTGGTTGTGTTCTCTGAGCTGGATAGTTAATTTGCGAAACTTTCATTGCCCTACTAGGCAACATCTTCAGCGCATACTTCAATTTGTAGTGAGCTTTTAGATTTCTTCACGAATTTATTAGTCATCTCTCCTGGTGACCTTGAATGTGATTGGTTGTTTTTGTGTGTTTTCACACCCTCTAGGCCACCTGAGCTAAAAATTCTTCGCCATCATAGTGAAGCCATTTTACATTCCTCTAACATTTTATTATTATTATTTTTGATTCCCCTATTAATAGGTTTATCTATCTTTTTTGTTTAAAATTTATTTTTATTTATTCATATGTTAGGATTCTGTATTTATGGATAAACCATTAATCGCATTACTCCTACCAACTATACATCCACAAAATTTACCTAAAGGTATTCAACCATTATTGGTATTTGTTAATCTCAAGTCTGGTGGATGTCAGGGGATGGATTTAATTGTTGCTTTTCGTCGTTTACTTAATCCATTTCAAGTAAGTACAATCACACTGTTGTTGCTTTTTTCATTGAATAGAAATATTTTGCTACATATTTTTCCCGCTATATTCATCATGATACTGATATACCCCTAGTAGTAGTAGTGTGACGACAGAAGACAAGGGCCAGGCAACAGATCGTTTATTGAGAAAATCAAGAGGTATTTACAGATTTTTATGTACATTATTATTAGCGTTATTGTTAGCAGAGAGATAACGTCTTCTGATTAGTTGTTTTCCTGCTGAAGGTTATTCTGTCATCTCTTTGTTACCGTTTCGTAGACAGTCCGGTGATGTATCTGCGACTTGTATCCGCTCACTCTGACTCTGCTGTGACTGGTTGTTGAGTTAGTCTTTATTCTTGTTTTTTTCTCATGACCAAGATTTGGGAGGTAAACATTGACGTAAATTGCTGTCTACCAATTTTGGCTAGCAGACAGCTCTCACCACAGTAGTAGTAGTTGTTGTAGTGTAACGACAGAGCACAAGAGTATTTAGCAGGGGAATTATTTATTGGCACCTCGCTGTGCAGATATAATAGACGAAATATGTGTTCGATATATTAGAATCCCAATTTGCACTTATCTTTCGTATTGTGCTTCCCTGTCTTCCTCTCATATTTCTCATGTTGTTTCACAAGCTTGGTTCATTTCTTCTCTTCGCCATTCGGCATTCTTGCATATGATATACATATTTATATCTGAATCTACAGACTACTAATAAATCTTGTCAGTAGCACACACCACAGTAGTAGTGGTGTTTCGTCAGAATATAATGGTATTACGTAGCATAGTTGCTTATCGAGAAAGTGGTTTACAGTGATGGCGAAATGCGGAAGCCTTCTATCGAAATCTTCACGCATAGAAGTTCTTCGTATTCCGTTTTCTTTTGTCTTCCTCTCATACTGTCTATATATTGTTTCACACAAGGATCTTTCATTTCTCCTTTTCATCTATGTAGGTAACTCGTCCAATGGGGTAGAGTGCTCACCAGCCATACCCGTGGTCCGTAGTTCGATTCCCGACGGTCCCGCGCCTGGCCGTTAATAATTTCGGTCAAGAAATAATGCTGGGCGTGAAGGTAGCAAACCCCACTCGTAAAACGACACCGCTGCTACTGAAGCTTGACGCTTTATGTTCCAGTCGGGACAGGAAGTAATGAAACAAAACATAAGTCTGAAACATTTATTTCCCGATACAAATTTACGACAAGCAACAAATGTTAATAAAACAGGGTTTAATGAATTCGTCAAATTTCGGTAGAGCTCTTCAGCCGAATATCCTACATACAGTGACATATATATAGAAGAAATATAAGACTGATAAGCAAATAAACTACAGTGAATCAATCATGCAAAACGACAGGTGGGAATGTTTTACAGGTCAAGTTCAGATAGATAAGGGGAGTAAGGGTTATGGGAGGCATTTATCAGAAGAAAGAACTTGACAGTGTTGGGAATTGCAAACTGAACAATTAATAATAATAATAACAGTAATAATATAAAAAATAATAATGAAGTGAGTTAAGATAATGCCACTGATAAAGGACGATTTAAACTGAGACAAAAATAATAATAAAAGGTAATAAAATAGTAATAACAGTTAATAAGTAAAAGACACTACCACGGTAGATTCAAAGCGACCGCTACCCTACTTCTGTATACTTAGACCGCTTTAATAAGTTCTAAATGCACAAGCCTCTGCAATTGCAAGCATCTTTCTGTTTATTTGTCTACTGACAGCAGCGAATTTATTTGACAATGTCACTGTCATGTGAATGCCTTGACTTGGGCAAATGCTGCATCATGCAAGTAAATACTCGCCTTTCTGAACAACCCATGTATTTGCCTCCCCCCAAAAACACACACTCGAACTGATATACTCAGTTAAGAGTGTTGAGGATTGGCTGTATTTGTCTTTCCCAGATTGTTAAAGCCACCCTCTTGGTGGTGTTAAGAGGAATGCAAACGTTTGCAGTATTACAAGTCATTCTAATAGCTTTATCAAGTCTTCATTTAAAACTACCTCTTGTATATATCATCTCCTTAACATGGCAAACTGATGTATAAAGTCTTATTTTAAACAGGCTTGAAGAGTTATTCTGACTTTGATTTCTTTGGAATACTTATCTATAAGCCTCTAAGGGTATCTATTCTATATCTGTTCCGTCCTCCATTATGACTGTGAGAACTGGTCATTGAGAGTGGAAGACATGGAAAGATTAGCTGTCTTCGATCATAGGTGCCCGTGTGAAGTGGTATAATAAGGTGAGAAATATTGAGGTTAGGCGTCAAGTGGTAGGTAAGGAGGGAAAATCAATCGACGAGGCTGTGAAATTACATCGATTGAGATGGTTAGGACATGTGTTACGTACGCCTAGTTATCGCCTTCCTCGACGGGCAATGTTAGCTGACATAGGGTCAGGCTGAAAAAGAGCTAGCGGTGGTCAAACGAAAACATGGCACCAGTCAATGAAATCCACAACAGTTAGTCTAAGCCACGTAGGAAGGTGTAGACTTCCTGGTTGGGGTCCTCGGGACGGTAAAAACCAATGGTTGGAAACAATTGGTGACATGGCTCATAATCGTTCTCAGTGATGGTGCAGATGCATCCACTCCTTGTGACTTGTGATTTCCATTGAAACTGTTTTGTTCTTCGTTATTACTATTCCTTTTGTCTCATCCCTATCTGCTGTCTGTATTTTGCATTTCTCCTACTTTCCTCTCTTGCTTTGTGTGCTACATGGAGTGTGGCGACTTGAACTGCCGCACATCGGTGCAAAGTTCTATGTCGAAAACAGGCAGAGAGAAAGAATGAATATCCTTCAGGGTGTTCATTTCATCTTTAATTGCACTATCAGAGCACATTTTCCGTGCTCTATTGAACACTGTTCTAACAAGGCTCCTTTTATACTGAATGAGAACCAGGCTTCTGAAGTGTATATACTTCCTAAGTATAAATCTTTCTATCATACCATCAATTTTTTTATCTAGGGATCCAATGGTATAATTTTGCTTCATGTTTTGGCCGAAATTTGTTGGATTCATTGAATCCTGATTTATCCGCCACCCCCCACACTGTTTTAAGTAATATGAGTATCTCATACTTAGAAAAATTAATGCATATATTGTGTGTATCGAGGTAATTATTTACTTCAAAGCTGTTTGAAAAATCTTTTGAATTTTCTTTTTCCAAAGTATGAGCAACAATCTTCAATGGAATGAATTCATTTTCCTTGAAATTTTCTAATAGAATTCTTATTCTTCTTCTTCCCCTTTATTAATTCGAATAAAGCAAGAACAATAGTTTTTGCAAAATAAAATGGTACCATCACTGCGTATTTCGTTGGCTTCTCATCAGTTGCTGACAGCCCAAAGACACTATCAAGTACATCTACAGAAACAACTTTAACATACTTGCACAGAGTTCATTTTCAAACAGAAAATCAATATATACATACAATGGTAATAATAACAATAATAATCATAACCTTTTCTTTCTGATCGCATAAATCGGGTTTCAGGTGCTTAGTGATGGAGACTGCTTTGGCAAACTTAAGGAGAATTGAACTCTTTTGCCTATTTATAATTTTGAACGATCTTGCGACGTCCACCCCATGATCCGTGTCATGGAGATGCCTGGTAATGACACTAATGTAAGCGTCTGTTCCTTTGAAATGTAAGCTCTTCAGTACCTGTTCAGAAAATCGGAGGTATGGCCTTCTTTCTGTTCTTCCAAGATAACTGCTCCCGCAGATACATGTAAATTCGTATATACAGTTGGAATTAACATGAGAAGGAGGATATCTGTTGACTTTTGATTGTACCAAAGTGCAGTTTGTTCGATAGGCGGGAACCAGCTTAGCTGCATGATAGGCTGTGCCTAGTGACGTCCTCAATCTTCTGTTGACAATTGCTGTTATATTTCCACCTTTAAAATCAAGTTGAATGAAGATGGGCTTTTTCCCACTGTTATTTGCTTAACGTTTAAGCCTTCAGAAGGAAGGGCATATCTCTGATTTTCTGAACATATACCAAAAAGTTTATGTCTATAGGGAACAAATGCTTTAAACTGTGCCATCGCCAGACATCTCCTTGACACGAGTCATGAGGTGTACGTCGCAAGATCGTTCAAAATTATCAATAGGCAATAGAGTTCAATTCTCCTTAAGTTTGTGAAAGCAATCTCCATCATTAAGCACCTGAAACCCGATTTATGCGTTCAGAATGAAGTGGTTATCAGTGTTTCCTTGCTCTGGTAACTGGATGGTTTTCATCCTCTCTTTCATCTAATTGCGTCCTACCGAAAGTTTCCATTGTGAGTGATTATTATTGTTTGGGATAAAGTGATTATTATTATTGTTATTATTAGCATTGTATGCGTCTATTAATTGATTTTTTGTTTAAAAATGAACTCTGTGCGAGTATGTTAAAATTGTTTCTGTATATATACTTAAGAATGACTTTGGGCTGTAAGCAGCTGATGAGAAGCCAGCGGAATAAGCAATAATGGTACGATTTTATTCTGCAAAAACTTACTTTATTCTTCTTACTTTATTCATATTCTTCCTCTTCTTGTTGGTTTGTAATTTCATGATGAAGCTTTGAATCATACATTTTAATCGTCATCATTTGAAAAGACGCTATGGATACTGCAGCTAGCCGGAATAGTGTTCAGTACTCTCTCTCTCTCTCTACAAAGACAAGTCAAAGCTCATGATATATATCTCTACCAAGAAATCTTCATATTTAATCACATTTTGTCTATTATTTTCATATTCCAAGGTCTTTATACTTCTTTCGGTTGTGTTAAGTGGTTTAATTGTTGAGCCTTTTTTGTATCCTTCTAAACAGGAATGAATAACACTAAATTTAGAATGACTTGAAGAATGGAAATTTCTGCATAGGCAATTTACAGCTTGATTGCTTGACCACAGCCACTCATTTCCTCTTTCTGTCTCTCTCAGAGTGCTGTAGTTTAATTGACTACTGTATCTTG